GCTCTCTGGCCCCTCTCTCTGCTCTCTGGCCCCTCTCTCTGGCTCTCTGGCCCCTCTCTCTGCTCTCCAGCCCCTCTCTCCAAGTCTCCGTAGCTGCCCCTCCGCGTGCCCAGCCAGCCTGAGCCTGTTCTCGGCCGCAGGCTGACCACCTGCTTCAAGACTATCCAGTCACTGTTGCCTCCAACCTGCAGGACGTGAGTCACAGATGGGAGGGGCCTGGGATGGAGGTGGGACCGGAGACTCCAGATCGCCACCCTTCAGGGGACCAGGCTAGTTTGCCAAGCGCGCCCCTCCCCTCCCCGACCCGCTCCCCAACGCCCTCCTCTCCCAGACCCAGGAGTCCCGGCCCCCAGCCTCCTCTGCTCCCGGGGCCCAGAGTGTGGGCGGTTGTCTTGGCAGGACCAGCTCTGCGGCGCCCTCTGGCGGCTGGTCCTGGCCCAGCGCTGGATGATTCGCCTCAAGATGGTGGCCGGGTCCCAGCTGTACGCCCTGCTGGAGGCTGTGGACACAGAGATACACTTCGTCACCTTGTGTGCCTTCCAGGTCAGCCCTGAACTTGGGGCCAAGTGAGGGGACTGGGGGTACCGCTCAGGTTTTCTGACCAGAGCAGCTCAAGGAAGATGGAGGCTGAAAGCCCCCGCGCACCAGGCCTGTGGCAATGCTGTAGATACCTGAGGATAGTGAAGGATATGGGCCATTTCTAGGGGCCAGAGTTCTTTGGCTCTGGTGGCGTAGTGGATAAGGCATTTGGCTGTGAACCAGAAGGTCAGCAGTTCAAACCCACCAGCCACTCCATGGAAGGAAGATGGGGCTAGCTACTTCCATCGAGATTTACAGCCTCAGAAACCAAATAGGGCTTGCTATGAGTCGGAATCAACTCAATGGCAGTGAGCTTGGTTTTTTGCTTTGGTTGCTAGATGTTATTAGAGGGTTCTCTCTCCTAGCAACTGAAGAGATGGGATGGGGGAACCTAGACTCTCTTAGAGACCTAGGCCCGACTAGACTTTATTGTGGGCGTTGCTAAGGGGTGCTTCCCCTAGCAACCAGGGAGCAACCAAAACCAAAAAAACCAAACTCACTGCCTTCGTGTCAGTCCGGACTCATACCAACCCCTTCTTGGTTTCTGAGGCGGTATCTCTACGGAAGTAGATTGCCCAGTCTTCCTTCCGAGGAGTGGCTGGTCCATTGGCCTTCTGGTTAGCAGTCAGATGCCTTGAGCACTCAAACCCAAGCCTGACGTTGCTAAGGAGTTCTTTTCCCTAGCAACCTGGGAGAGGAAGAAGATCTAAACTTTCTGATACCAAGGTCTAACTGGGCCCAGTTGCCGGGCCTTGCTAAGGGGTGTTTCCCCTAGCAACCAAGGAGCAATTAGAAAAAAACAAACTAAACCCACTACTATCAAGTCAATTCCAACTCATAGCAACCTCCATTGGGTGCCCAAGGCTGTAAATCTTTACAGAAGCAGACTGTCTCATCTTTCTTCTGCAGAGTGGCTGGTGGGTTCGAATAGCTGACCTTTTGGTTAGCAGCCAAATGCCTTAACCATTGCACCACCAGAGCTCCTTCCAGGCTCAATAAAAAACAAAAGCTCACTTGTTGTTGTTGTTGTTGTTGTTATGTGCCGTCGAGTCAAACCCGACTCATAGCGACCCCTCCTTGGGTTTCCGAGGCAGTATCACTACAG